CGGCCGGGCAGTAACCAAGTGTCAACCAACTCTGATTCTATAATAGTTTCATACGAGGGTAATACAGATAACTATAAAACAGTGCAGTACTGCAATTGAACGCACATTTACTATTAAAACAGTAGTGTTCTATCCTACTCTTCTTGTGAAACTCAAAATGCCCTCGTGAGACAAAGCAATTTGTTTTGCCCGAACACGACACAACGTATCGTGTTTTCATATTGCTGATAGCCGATTTTTCGCACGGAAAGTTTTTAAATGGAGTTATCCCAAAATATTTGTGTTTGATAAGTAATGGGAAAATTGACGAATTATTTCAGTTGAATAATAAGTCAACAGACTATGTTACATTCAAATAAACTTTGGTGTCGCGTTCATGAGAAAAAGTCACAATTAGTTTTACCTATCTGATTTAATGTTTGAAGTAATTACAGTGAAATTGTTATTTATTGGTATAGTCTAGAACCGTCAGTTTCTTGATTTGCTCAGTCTCGACGCTGCTTCCGACTAAAGAACTAACACAGAGTAAATTGTATAAAGGAATCATTTTTTTTTATAAGATAAGGGGGCAAACGAGTGGCGGGAACACCGAGGTGATCAACGACACGCATAGATATCTGCAACACCAGAGTTGCTGCAGATGCGTTGCCGGCCTTTAACCATGGTTTTCCTATAATAACTAAAGTAATAGATTTGTACAGCCATCTTGTTATCATCTAGTGCTCTAAAGCTAGTTCTAGTTTAGTTCTAAATCTGATATAAGTATTCAGAATTTAACAAATTGCATTTAAGCAATTTATAAATTATTTCCGGAGTTTTGTACAGCAGTTTCAGTGTATTAAAATACAGGTTGATGTATAGGTATATCTATTTTATAGAAAACGTCAGGAAAACAACGTTATGTATAACTAGAGATTGCCCACGACTTTGTCAGCGCGGAATTTAAAAATTAGCCAAGTTACCCCCGCAAGCTAGCTTTCCAGTAAAAGTCCCGTCAAAATCGGTCCAGCTGTTTCGGAATTACCCGGAAAAAAGGATTTGCGCACAAACAGACAAGCAGACAGTTATTTAAAAAAATGGATTGGATGAATAACGTTAACATATCACGTTCGCATACAAGCTTTCCAATATTATTAATTGTAAACATAGAATTTTACAATGTTGAAAAAAACTAATTTACGTATACACTTGTAGTCCATGTTGTCAAGCAACTTTTAGTAGCTAATTACGTTGAATCATTGGAAATCGGAGTGTTCTAGTTAAAATAGTGTTGCTATCCTGTTACTAGACATATAATTCTAGTCTTATGGACAAACAATAGCCACATCGTTTCAAAACAATCGTAAGCTATTAAATTAATCGTCTTCTATTTAATGGGCTTCGATTACTTCAATTCGAGGCACAAGAGAGAAGTGTTTGTTGAGAATAAACGCAAAGGCCGGCAACGCATCTGCGATTCCTCTGGTATTGCTGATGTCCATGGGCGTCGTTGAACACCTCGGTGTTTCCGCTGCTCGTTTGCCCCCTTCTGTTATAAAAAAAAATCAGTAATAACATTTTGTGATAACTAAAGCTGAAATGCTTAAGTAGACATTTCATTTGTCCCGTCCCCTTTTCCGTCATTCACATCTGTTTTTTTTAAATAATTGGCGTGGTTACTACTTATTATTAGTGTACATTCTACATCATCATCAGCTCACTATACGTCTCCACTGAGGACTTCGGAGTCTACCTTAAGTTGTGACTAGGCCATAGTCAAGCACGCTGGCTCAGTGCGGATTGCTTAACTTCACACATATCTTTAAATTTCTTCGCAGATATGTGCAGGTTTCACTTCACCTTAAGAAAGTCGGATAAATGTACATATGTAAATCGAAAAAAATATTGGTACATGGCGGGATTCGAACCCAGGACCTGTAGATTATACTTAAGTGCTTAAACCCCTAAGCCACCGACGCTTTTTACATACCGATATTTTACATATTGGATTTTAAATGAGTCATAGAAGAAATTATAATTTCAAGATGCCGCAGTTCTCACGGCTGAAGATGGCATGTAGGGAAACACGAGCTGCTGAGCTACGCCTAACATTTCCCACACTCTGCATATCTTGCCTTCATATATCAAGTTGGCAAAGTGCAAAAAAGCATAGACAATGATCCAATTGTGTAGTCATAGCTTTCTCACAGTCTCCCCCACTGATATGATCTGTGGTACAGTTAATTAGTGGGGGTAAATGACCACCGTTCTTCCGGATATAAGTGACATAAAGACGGAAGTAGATGATTGGTCTTATACTCTTACAGATGTTAGAATTAAAAAAGTATTTTATTAATATTTTCACTAACAGTTCTGAGACCAAAATCTCTGTATAAAATATATCGTCATTCCTGTCATTATCGTTAACAATTCAGAGATAAGAATATGTTTTAAAGTGGGATTTTGGTTTCAAAAATCCTCCATAAAAGCACTATTTTTCGATAAAAAAAGTGCTTTCGTTATTCAAATATCTTTAGCGACATACAAATCGGCCTTGGTTTTTTTATTTTTTAATGATATTGAGGTTATTCCACATTTACTTTTTTGTAACAATAATTTTCATATCTTATTCTCCACCAGGATGTTACTGATTTCAAAGAATTACAATGATTGGCTTTTTTAACATAGTCATGAATGAATAACCATGTGTTTTTCATCGTCACTGTTTCATTGACACGTCACTATTAATAGCATTCGTCACGCCATCTAAGATGTACGAAGTATGAACTAGTGTTTATAATTTCATTCATAATGTTAATTGGTAATTCATTATCCCTACATATTCCTTTGGATTAGGGTTCGTGTTATGCCTATAATATTAGTCGTATTAGTAAAACATAGATCGATAGCTAGAACTCTTTTTTTTGTAGTAACTCGATAGTTTTAGACATTATTAATTGGTACTTGGCGCGAATGACGTGCTTTCGTTACAAAGTGTCAGAAGTAATAGTGAGGGGACACAAACGTCGACATTTTAGTAAGGCTAGTGTTGGGTAAATACACTACCACATTTTCGGATTTTCTTCCTAACAATAGAGAGTGGTTATTTTTTTTTATTCGAAGCAGCGGGTTCATGTACATCCTAATTTAAGACGCATAGATAAAGTATGATGTAGAGAATTGGCGGAACTTTTAAATAGTTACAGTTAACAAAGATTAATCATTCATCTCCAATTATATTGATATTAAATATTCTGATATCGTGTTATTAATAGAACAGGATCTAGATATAGGAAATTCCAATTATTAGATTAAATCCGTTTGATTTTCGCGTGTTATCCGGCAATTACTTACGATGATTTATTTCACGCCACAGTTATGTCGTCAGGAATCGTCATTGCTAGCATGGGAAAACGTTGTAACTCAGAAAAAACAATTAAAAACTTTGCGTTGCCAACTAAACTATGAATGTGAATCATGTTTTAGATTAATGAATGAATAGTTAGCTTAGTTTCATTACTTAGTGTTATTAAGCTGTATACTACATCAAATAATACTGGAATATCCTAGGATTTAAGTCTTAAGGGTTTCATAAGACGTATGGGCAATTTGACCAGATGTTAGGTTTTCATCATTACGCATCAACAATGCGGTTCAACTGGTGAAATGCCACCACACGGAAGACAAACGTAAAGAGGAAGTGATTCGGTTTCGTCTAATGCTCTTTTAAAAGTGACGTCTTTTAAACAAGCAGATATCTTGCTATATATTTCCTTTAGAACAATCTTCACTTCTCTTTAGTATTCAATAAGGCTGTGGTAGTTCTATGGTTAAATCAGTTTGTTCCTTCGATATCTTTTACCATTAATGGCTTAATCATTATTACTAGTGTTACACTTACTGTTATGTATCGAATAGTTTAATGTATTCAACATGTTTTATTCTCATAGTTAAATATTAACAAAATAAATATTTATAGAAATAATATATTAATATTAAATTATGAATATCAAATTATGACCGTGAGAAAATGTCTGCCGAATGTTACGATTGTAAAATAAAGCAAACAAGTAGGGTGGATTTATTAAAAATTAACATTATCGTAATTACGAGAAAAACATTATTTTCACATCAAAACAAAGTATAATTCTGTATTATTTAAATCAGAGCTAGAAACAATGGCGGATGGGTGGGCACTTGATAATCATCAGAGGTCGGTTCGCCGGCGCGGAACGCTATGTCGGGAAGATTTTTATTATCATGTGAAGACATTTTGAAGACATTCCCACACACGGCCACTGATTTTCACGATTAACTCTGATTCTTGCGATGTTAATTACTCTTTAAGTTAACTTTTTTTTCAATTTAATTAATCGCACTTTGTTAATTAATTTGCTGTTATATTTTGATGTGTGGGAATTCTTGATAAAGTTTTTGTAGACTTAATAATTTTGCGCATTATATTAAAAATTGTAGGTAAATTAATTGCAAAAAATTATATTATTGAAGTATTGAATACGTTTAATTTTGCAAGATGAACTAATCTGGCAGCTATTGGAGTGGCAGAATCTGGATGTAGTGTTTAGTCTACATCTAGATGTACTACATTTAGACTAAACTATCAATTAACTAACATGGTCTACGTTGTAAATATCAGTCACGTATAACTAGCGTTTACTCGTAGAAAAGATCCCACGTCAATTTGTCTTAAGTAGAACTGATAGAACTGTTTCTGTCTCTTTCTAGTTTAATAGAAGCGAGTTTAGTGTTGTATTTGGGATTTGTCGTAATAATAATACAAAAATGTACTGTTTAAATTCATTTTTATTAAAATATTCATGTTTTTTTTAAAGACTGCCTACTGCGTGAACTCTTTATGGATTTATTCTTAAAACAATACCATAAATTAATTCGGGCAGTCGTCTCTTAAATAATGACAATCTTTCAATATATACGAATACCAAATGTAAAAATTATAAAAATGCATGAGTAAACAGTTTTTTCATTGTAAAAAAATCGTTTACATTTTATACAAAATTGACGAAATATTCGTTATATCGATTTCAATACTTATTCACCGTAATACTGCATCTACAATACCAATTCCATAAAAATGTCTAGTAATTTAATTTTTATAGTCGATATAAAAATATTGTTTAAAAAATTTTGTACTTATTAATTCACTTCCTTATGGAATGTTCGAAAAATCACACTCTTCAATATAAATACACACGAAATCGATTTACCAAAAAAAAATTATAAAATATCTAAAAAGTCGCATTTTAAATAAATAGAAATTTTCAATTGAAAGTCTCCTCTAAAATATAATGTACTATCGACTAATTCTAGCTACATCACTAGTTGTTCATTAAAATCTCCGTAAATATACATACTTACATAAATTTATACGATACTAATGCGTGCGTATAAAAAAGTAGCTAATAATTTGAAATATTTTAGTGGCAGAATGTATTTATTACCTTTGCCCTTCAACAGTCAATAAAAAATAACGCAACCAAGCGAGCACAGATATTGTAGCAAAACATATTTGGTTTCCGTCCTCTTATTTACAACTTATACGCACATATCTTTATAAATGGATAGGCTATTGCTATAAAATGACAGTTCCTGACAGTTGATTCTACTGTATTATTAGTTCGAATCCTCACCACCAATACGAACTGCAACGACAGCGCCAAAATGTCGATGATCAAATAGGCACAAAATACCATGGTTTATAGCCTGTCCATGTATAAAGTCAGTACTTATACGTATAAAAACTTATAAACGAAGTCTTCGAATATTGGCTTCTTAAGTAATCTCAAGACATCTCCTCAACCGATAAACTTATTTTACGTGACCCTTAAATATATTGATACGATGATGACTTGTCATGGACATTACAACTATTTGGCCCCAAAGAATCGAATCTTAGAGCAGAGATTTCATTTTACTTCATCGAATCTGAATAAACCAGGCTAGGAACTAATGTTCTACCAAATTTCTAAAACATGCCTGGGTAGTAAAATTTACCATTTAGGCATACACACTACAGTAATCAGAACAAAAACGATTTTATTTGATCTTTGTGGATTTTTTTTGTCTTAGTTGAGAAACAATCCGAACACAAGTGCGTTTTCACCCTTACAAAAAATACACACCAAAAGTATCAAATAAAATTGACATGAGCTTACGAATCATTTAAAAATATAATCTAGTCTAAAGATGCATGACCGTAAATACACGTGAGAATTTCAGTATATTAATAAGAAAATAATAAAAAGAAAGTTGCGATAAAATTTTAAACCAAACATCTTAAATAAAAATAATTCGTTTAAACATAAATCGTATAGCTTTACTAACGTTAACTATCTTAGTATATAGCATTTTGGTGTCGTAATCTCGCAAAAAAAAAACTAAATTTAAGTATAATTTTAGACAGTTACCGTCATAATCTGTCGAGACAGTTCGCTTTGCGAATGTTCTGGACACCGAACGGCAAAGTTATTGACTCACGGCATACTTAAGCTTTCTATTGTAATATAATCCTGAATATTATTTATAAAAAGTCAAATTGTTCATTTCAGTTAGGAAATTCGGTTTTAGAGGGATTCATTTACGGATTATATCACGATAGTGAGTTTGCAAACATTTTTGACCGAACTAAAGTTGCGTCAACAAACATTGGCACATGTAATGTGACTGAAGTAAAATTCTGACATCATTAGAAGTCAAACGACCGGTCAAATAAAGCAAATATTACAGGCACTATAGAAACTAACGTATTAATGTCCTCAACTCACCAAATTCTAACACTTTCTAGTTCACCAACTATTTATAACTCTTTGGATAGTCCTTTTTGATATGCAGCAACAATAGGGTTGTCACTGAAGAGTCCACTCCGCATCTAATATTAGGGTTGTCACTACACTGCCACTAAGCTGGTAGGGTTATCACTCCGGGTTGTCACTGCACTGTCATAGATTATGTCACAAAGAGACCGATAGAGTTGTCACTAGTAACAAGTCCACCCTGTATAGACCGGTAGGGTTGTCACCGCAGACTATCGAGCCTGCAGTCCTCCTGCTATTGTATGTTGTCTGGCAGGCGGTGTGCGATGGCGTCGTGGTGCCAGGCCTGCTCGGGGCGCATCACGTCGTCAACAGGCGGACACACCGGCCGCGGCCCGGGCTCCGGCGTATACGTGAAAGTCAGACCGGTCGCGTATATTATACCGTCGTTTCTCACCAATGATACTGGCACCTGGAATTGTTAAAATTACTTACCGGTGGTTTCTGAGACTTAAAACCCTGTATAAATCCATCGTCATCCAACTCATTATCTTTGAGAATATAGAAATAACAAAATGTTTTATACAGGAATTTTGGCCTCAGAAACTGACGATTAGAGCCATGTTTCTCAGTAGATTGACTCCATGTTGCTGTTTTAGATTTAGATTAACTAAATAAAACAGTAAATAATTGTATGAAGTACTGAAATTTATAATTCTGATAGTCAAAAGTGTCGAAAGAGTTTATCACTTATAACATTTGATTGTAAATACGCGTTACATACCTGAGTGGGCTGTCGCACCCACAGCCACTGTCCCCTGAATTGAGATATGTCCGGTACAACGCAAAGCATGGACTCTGCACAGCGGTACATTGTCTCAGCTTCAACATCGCCGAACCACACCTGCAGTGAGGGCGTGAAGTTGTCCCCCGCTAATTCCAGCATGGCTACATCACCGCCACCGTTCAAATTCAGTGAATGGACTAGGGGCACAGGAGTCACCGGAGACCTGGTTCAACATTTTTTATCATTGACACTTAGGGGACAAATGCATAGAAACAATTTATTGATCTACTTTCCGACCCTATTCTAAAAATAACACACGCGGGTCCCCTGACCCTATCTCTAAGCGTCGAACGAATGGATATTTCACAATTTCATCTCATTCAAATATCCATGATTGCATATAAAGATAACTATTTAATTTAAAAAAATAATCCTGGATTCGATTGACTCTTTAATCGATTTACCGTAGGTTTCAGAGACTAAAATTCCCCTTTAAACCATATCGTTATCTCTGTTTTGTAGAAGATTATGACAGAGGTATGTTTTATACAGAGATTATGATCTCAGAAATCGACGGTTATATAGATACGCTCTAGTGGAAAAAAGGTTAAATCCGAATCCAGAAACAGATTCTTAACATTCATTATTTTAAACTTGTAAAAGAAGATCTTCTTCTTCTTGAGGCGCCTCTCCGACTAACGAAGGTTGGCGATCAGTTCTCCATATAACATGTTTACCAAATGGTCTTCGTCGATCGTATCGTCATATCGTCACTTCATCATTGACCAAACGGAGATAACAATATGTTTTAAACGGATCTCAAAAACCCATCATAAACCATTTGTATTTTTTAACGCAGTAGGATTGCATGGTGATAGTTTATATATCTTTATGAAAGCCAAAAATCAAATTGGCTTGTTATTAAACTTATTGGATATATTTTGCAAATAGGCGTGAGAAAGTTTCACAGTGTATGCAATTGATAGAGATATCACTTTGATAAGGTCGCCCGCGGGAACCACTAGGGTTACAGCTTGTCCCACGATATTTTTCTGTACTAGCGAGCGCTCGCAACTCCGTCCGCGCGGAATTTAAAAAAATCATAATTATTATATGTGTTCTTATAGGATGATGTAGTATAGACATCTATGCCAAATTTTAGCGATATCCATGCAACCGTTCTGGACATATCTTCAAACAAACATCCATTCATCCATTCTTCCATCTGTTTAGATCGCATTTATAATATTAGTAAGATTTTCCCGACTATCATAAACATGGCATGCAAATGGAAATGGGATAAAATATAATTCAAATAAGAATGTATCCATTCTTTACGTCAAAAATCACTAGAAAATAAAAAAATCGGCTTCGTGGATCCGAAGGTCACAAAAAAGATTTACGAGATTGATTTCATCAAATTGTCATTTGTCATTAAAAGAAATCTTAACTTCAATCGCAACAAAATAAACGAAGTATATTATTCTTATCATTATGTTGTTTTTATAATAACTATAATTGAGTAATATATACGTTATTTACTATCGGCGATGCGTTTGTTTGTGTTGTTAGTTAATAGTTGAAAACTATATGTTTACTTTAGATATTAAAATGAATGAATCGATCCTATTGTATCTTGTAAAATGTAATTATACTACTGTGTTAGTTCGTTATATTGTAATGAAAATAGAATAAAGTTAAATAATATTTTATACTACGAGAAATTGATATTTTTGACTTTCATCATCAGCTCACTATACTGAGGGGCTCGGTGCTTACCCCAATTTGGGGGTGACTAGGCCACACTACGCTGGTCAAATGCGGGTTAGTTGACTTCACACACATCTTTGAATTTCTTCACAGATATGTGAAGGTTGCATCACGATGCATTCCGTAAGAACGTGGGATATAAATACATTTGTAAATCAAAAAACACATTGGTAAATAGAGAGATTTGAACCCAGGACCTGCAGATTACCAGTCAAGTGCTTAACATCTGAGTCACCAACTTTTTTCTTGTCATTTCCATAATACTGTAGTATACACAGCTGGATTTTTAAGTTTTATACTAATTATGATCGTTGATAATTTATATTGGAATATTTCTAGTCGAATTGGTAATCGACCGGTGACATTTCGTTGTAGTCACCCGTATTCCGAATCAAAGGAAATTAGCATAGATAAATTTTGAGATTCTTTATCTAAACTGCATTAAAAGATAACATATTTATAACGACTTATATATTTAAATTTAACAAATTAATTTATAACGCGATTATAACGAAATGTTGCGAACGAAAAATTAACAAATTAATTTAACGCCAAAATAAATAGGTATCCTGCTTTCACGATGCTAAATTTTAGCAAAAATATGTTGTTTGAGTTTTTTTTTCAAAGATAATAAAAGCTGAATATATATAGGAATGATGCGGCAGTGCAAACTCAAGACACGCAATACATCATGTGTATAACATACTATTTTTTTATTACATACATACACACCAATTTTTTGGATAGATTAGTTGAACTCTATGTACATTACAATGCCAAAGTTAAATAATGTTACCACAAGTAAGTGTCATAAACAATAAAATATTTATATTATACTTCTTAGATTTTTTGGATGCAAAACCTTCTTCGGCATCCTTAAAATATTCTAGCTAATTTCGACATTAATTGACCAATGGTGTAGCAATACATATTGGGACAAACACAAGTATATCTAGAATCTAGATGATTTAATTTAATGTGTATTAGAAGCTCAGTCAGAATTATAAATGCTTGCAAATATTGTTATATCTAATGTTGAACATTTACATATTTATGTAAACTGAATTGATATTTACATAGTATTAATTAATTTAATAACTTTTTTTTTTAAATTTGGATTTGTTTATTAAGTTTTTATTTTATTTTATATTTGTATAGCTATTTAATTATTTGAATAATTATTTCTTTTTTATATAAATATTAAATAATAAGTAAATAGAAACCAAAATTAAAATAGTACTATTTTTAAATTTAGAGTGTGTATGTATTTGTGTTATTTACCTGACAGGTCCCATGCCTTCGTAAAATTGATATTCAGCTTTATCAGTAGATATAATAGTCCAACAAGCACCATCATTGATCATTTCCTTATTTGGTTCTTTGGGGCACGGTGTAGCTTGGAACTGGATTATTCTCTCCTGGGACAGGCAGAGATACATCCTCTCTGTATCTTTCATGTAAAACGCACATTTGTGCAGCTGAGATACCGGGTCATCTGCTTCCAATAATGCCATTTGCTTGTCCACCTAATTAGCATATATGTATTATTTAAGTATATAAGTGTTATTTATGAAGTAAAATTTAATAGTAGATTTATAATATTTACCTTTCTAATTATAAGCCGTGGTAATGCCATGCCTGTTACAGAACAGACAAGCTTCACAGTAGATCCATAGTGGACGTAACCATCCCTTACTGCAAACTCTTCAGACTCACTCTCATTGTCATCCAGGAGGTGTATCGTGAATGCACCCCACTGTGTGGATGATGCATGGAAGTTACCATTCTCCACATGCAGATATCTTGTTGATACCGTCTGTGACCTTAGTCTATTGAATAGCGCTACTTTTGTTCCGCTAGCTATACACAAATCAGCATTCTTTAAGGATTGCTTTTTCTTTGAAGGTTTTGAAATAACTTTTATCCTTTTACTATTAAAAATGCCTATATCATGTCCGTTACCGTAAAACATTTTAACAGATAACATGAAGTGTTTTCTCTTATCTGAATCTGATATGTACAAAGTTTTAGCGGCACAATACTGTTTGCCATTGTTCAGGTCTAACTGCTGCATGTCCTGGTCTGAGTTGCCTATGCCGATGAAGGCACACAGCTGCGACGCCTGCTCGGTCTCGCCTTCGCGCAGCATGCGCTCGCGTCGCAGCCGCCACCCATCGCCGAAAAGGTAAATACAAGGAGGTGGACAGAAGAACCTTTTTTCGTTTCCATAAGACTTTTGAGCGACTTTAGCGTGTAATATGACAACGACCATATCGGAACGATCGCGCAGGTATCGTTCCATGGCTTCACGAGTTAGGCGGCGCTCTTCTGGACGGTAGGCGCCGGCGCCTGGGCCCGCGGCGCTGGCGTAGCGCGGGTACAGCGCGCCGTGCTGCGGCGGCGGGGACGGCGGGCCCTGCGCCATCCCGCCCGCGCCCGCGCCGTACTGGTGCGGCATGCTGGCCACCTTTGCTCTGCTCTCACCTCCCTCCGTACTGCATCACCGATCGATCCGGAATCTGACGGCACATGACGCTGTCCTCGAGTTTCACTTGAACTCTTTGATACCAATATCACCGCGGAAGATTGCCCATATTACCAGGAGAAATTGGTAGTATCCTGCCTGATCAGTGGGGACTCTTATCAAGCGTAAACACTTACAACGCTTTGTTGAAGCAGTATCTCACTTTCTTAACGACTGTTAACTTTTCGATCGATACACTTTTGTGTTATTCACGGCACCATAAATAAATAATTACGATGGGAACTTTAACACACTTCATTCAAAAACACCTGTTCAATGGTAGAAAATTCAGACAGTCTAGCCAACATACCACAGTTTACTATTTATTAATACTATTGATAAACCTAACATAAGATGCAATAAGTTCTGAGTAGATGATATTTCGTATAAGTTCGTTATTAAAAGTTGATAAAACTTGTGTTTATTTCGCTTTGATACGACAACGCTTTTATTAGGATCTGTCAAGAAGAACCATAGACACTGAAACAAGCGTGTTGTCGATTACACGCGCGCGAATAAAATCGAGCGATGCGAGTTCGGCTCCGGCGCGACTGACAGCCCGGCAGACAGACGGTCGGTCATAGGATGTGGGGTTACGCATGGGGCGTGAGAAAATAAAGTGTGGGAAAGAGTGGGCGTCGCGGCGTAGTAAAACATTTGATATTGTATGTAGTGAACGGAACACTTACGAATGCGCCAGTAGCAGGCGGCATTTCGATTTGTTTTTGTGTGCGTCATAAATATACGTCGAGTTCACAGAGCGAAAAGGTTGCGATGTGTGAGGAAGAGACCGACGATTGACCGAAGATCTCGTGGGAAATGACCTTTGTTATGTACATCGATATATACTTTAGTTAAAACAAAAAAAATCTGGTCTGGAATTTAATCTCACACGCGATGGGAGTCACTGGACTGTGGAGACTGATTGAGCCCGCGGGCAAACCGGTCCCGGTGGAGACTTTGGAAAACAAAGTGCTCGCAGTTGGTATGAACTTCACAATTCACCGGTAGTGTTAATCGGAATCGTATTTGATAACAAGAAGTTTTCTTTTTTACCAGATATATCAATATGGTTGCATCAGATGGTCAAAGGATACCAAGATGCGAAAGGAGCCCCTGTGGCGAACGCCCACCTTATGGGTCTATTTCAACGTCTTTGCAAATTACTATATTTTAGAATAAAACCAGTATTTGTTTTTGATGGTGGATACCCTGATTTAAAAAAAGAAACAATTGTAAGTTTATTTCAATCAATAACAACAAAAACTACCTTATATCCACTATTATCCAGTTATTATTAACATTATATCATATTAACCCGGTTAGGTAGCATTTAAAAATAAAGTTGTTAAAATAGTTTTATTTTTGCTATTCTATAATATTTTTTTTGCCAAAGTATTTCTATTTAGCATATCTAAAAAGATGTGATGATTGCACAATAATTTACAAATAGTGGTAATAACTTAATGCTCCTAAAATTCATAGTTTCTTTGCTCAAAAGTATATTTTTCTTATAATTGTTAATTCCACAATGAATGCTATAACATGCATTGAACAAACTGATTTCAATTTATGTATACTATAATGTGTATATATAAAATTTCAGGCTAAAAGACAAGATAGTAAATCTAAACTTAACTCCGAATCAGAAAGATTAAAAAGAGAACTAGCTCTATTGCTTGGGAAACGGACAGCTATTGGTAGTTTATTAGGAAAGCAAATATCTCCAAAGAAGGCCAACGCTGCAAATGATGTTAATAGAGATGATATGTTTAAACTACCAGCATTACCACAGAAAGAAGAAGAAACTGAAACAGAGTATGTAATGTAGTTTACTCCAACTCACTATAAGTTCAGTTCCCTAAACAAACATATTATATTTTTTATTATATTTTGAGTTAGATGGATGTATACTTAATATCAATATTCCTTAAATCCTTTATTGTGTACTAGGTCTGAAGATGAGCAAGATTCTAGTGCATCTACAGTTGACTTACACACTGTTGATGTTGAGTCTGACAATTTTAAGAGTATGCCTGCTAAAGAAAAGTATGATTTACTTGTTGAATTAAAAGAAACAAGAAAGATGAATTCATGGGGAAAACTTCATACACTGCCAAAGAAAAGTGATCAGTTCTCAGATTTTCAAGTGGGTAACAGCTTTGTAAATATTAATAATTTTTCTTGTTAAATTGTGCCCGTTCCTCACAGTATTTAAAAAAATAATATTTCATATAAATTACAGATGGAAAGATTATTAAAACGTAGGAAAATACAAGAATGCTTAGAAGAAACAGAAAAAGAAATGGGAGATGGCACAATGTCCATAAATGAGCTTGAATCTTTGTTAAATGAAGAAGGCATTGATACAAAAATTGAGGCACTACCTACTCGCAGAATTGCTTCTAACAATACAACTAGGTTCCTACTCATTAATAATGTAAAACAAGCATTAGCAGATGCTAGAAAGAAAAAAGAACTACTTAGCAAGAAAGATGAAGATAAGAAAATAACTCCTGAAGAGATGACTGATGTAACACCAACTGAGGATGAGGAACTTCAAATGGCTATAAAAATGTCAATGGAATGTGTTGATGAAGCTAATACAACTGCAGGTACATCTAAAACAGATGATTCTTGGACTTCACATTTATCAGATTCAGATTATTCGTATTCTTATTCTGAGGATGAAGGTGATAATATTGAACAGCCAGATATGTCCTCTGCTAAGGCCTATATCGCGCAATACAGTGATTTAACCTATAAAGCTATTGATGATATTGTAACATCCAAAAATAGTAGCACCAAAAGTAAATCTAAAGTCCCTAAAATAGACGAAATAATCAAGGAACTTGAAAATGAAAAGTCGGTTATAGTAGACAAAGTTGATTTGTCATCAGATGAAGACCAAAAATTGCATGGTACTAATTTCAATGACCCAGAACCATCCACAATAATTGAAAATGATGATGATGTTAATGACACACAGCAATCTGTTATTGCTGTTGAAAACCAATCCGTTGGTGTCATAAACCTGGACACGAGCACTGAGGATGAGAGAAAACCAGAAATAAGAAATATTGTATCTGACACAGTTAAAGTTGGAACTGTTCAAAAGGAATTATCAGATGATTCTAGTGACAGTGAATTTGAAGAAGTGCCAGAAGAAAATAAATCAAGCAAGCCAGTTGTTGAGCTGACTCTCAACATGGGGGCAGCTCCTGATGATGATATATTTGCTGATGTTTTTGAAGACAACAAACAAGAAAATATTAAGGAAAATCAAGAAAGTAACAATGAACCTACAATTTTTAATACTAATATTGATTTGGATGAAGTAAAAATAAAAGAAGAGCCTGATATGACCAACCTTTATAACATAGATTCAGAAGGAGAAATAGACACATCACCTAATGAGAAAGAAAGTTCTGAAGATGAAAAGAATGGTGCAGTAGTTACTGCAGAAAATTTTATTAAAAGTAAAGAGCAAGAACATATTGTAACATCCCCAGAAAAAAGTGATCAGATAGTCATTGAAAGTAATAAGCCACCTAAGAAATTATTAACTACTGAAGATTTAAACTCCATGATGACTGAAATTCAAAACAAAGAGGATCATTTGATTCAAGAAAAAGGAAGAATGGATCGAATCGGGCGAAATATAACAGAGGAAATGACTAAAGATGCGCAAGAGTTGCTTCAAATTTTTGGTATTCCTTACATAGTTGCTCCAATGGAGGCAGAGGCACAATGTGCATTTCTTGAACATGTAAATTTAACAGACGGGACTATAACTGATGATAGTGATATTTGGTTATTTGGTGGAAAGACAGTTTATAAGAATTTCTTTAATCACAAGAAGCATGTCATGCAGTTTTTGTCAGAAAGAATAGAGAAGTCATTTAGTAAGTGCTATTATCAGTATGGGTTTAAAGCTCACATGTATCCTTGTGGGTTAAGGTTTTGGGTTATTTTGTCATCTGTAATATCGTAATTTGAAGATGATGCTGTGGTTCGAAACTGGCCAGTAATAAATTCTGTTTTGCGACTCTTTTCTCAATGGAAACATATACAAAGGCAAGAGTTATATTTTAAAATTTTGGCCAGTATTTTTTTACATTTATTGTAAAACTATATTACATTTTCTTTCTAACTGCTGCAAGTAACTTAAAAGTAGTAATTCTAAATAATTTTTCACGAGATTCTTTATTTGCCTACCAATCTTTATTTCTGACATGCCATAAACTATAGAAAAATTCTATTTTTTACGTTAAATCAAAGCTTAAAACTAATGTCACATGGACGAAAATAACTTACCAACTTTCATAATTCTTTTGCAGTTAATAAAACAATTTTTCTTTTCAGATTTATCAAGAGAACAGTTAATACTGTTTGCGTTGTTAGTCGGTAGTGATTATACAATGGGTGTACCCGGTATTGGTCCTGTAACTGCACTAGAAATCCTGGCATCATTTCCATTCAGCAAGAGACAGTTCCTCAATGAAACATCCAAACAGGCGCAGTACTTCCAAATAATAGCTGGTCTACAAGAATTTAAAAAATGGGTGCGAGCTGGAAAGAGAACGGATAATATTAAACTAAAGAAGAAGATAAAAAATGTTCAATTAACAGAAGACTTTCCTAGTATGAGGGTATGTGTATTGAGTTTTTACATAATTTTATTGGTGTTAATTATTAACTTTTTATTTGTTTTATTTTTTTAGGTGGTTCAAGCATACTTAGAGCCGAATGTTGAAGAAAGTGATGAGAAATTTACTTGGGGTAATATTGATATTACAATATTACGAGATTACACAAAAACTAAATTCGGTTGGTCACAAAATAAACTTGATGAAATTATAAAACCAGTTTTGAGTAGAATAAACGACCGCAAAACTCAGAGATCTGTTCAGGACTATTTTAAGGCAAAGATAGATTTT